AGAAGCAACATTACTTTTTGAAAACAATCCTATAAGTAGTAAGTACACACATAACAAATGTTCTCACTGTCAACAATAGTAATATACCTTTGAGTGTTTTGACAGCAACTACTTGTGGTACATCTTTACCAGTTGCTAATAAAGCTCTATATACTATACCAAATTCACCTATTTTAAAAATTGATCAAACTGTAGTTGACTGAAAAATTACCTTGTCCAACTGCTTCTTGCAAGTTAATTTGAGAAGCAGGTATTGAATATTTAACTAATAACTGCTCTAAATGGCTTGAGAAGTTATCTAAAAATCAAATTAAAACTGAATTGTTACTAAAAAAACAACACCTACTGTGACAAACATTAGAATTAAACTTTGTTTCAAGATATTGATTTGTGGATTTCACTGTGCCATTCCTGTCAATAGAGGGCTTCTTTTCAACAGCGTGTAGTAAAAGACTTTTAATGCCAAAGGAAACTTTTTTGCAGATATGATAAAATTCTTTTGTACAAAGACAATGCACTACAAAAAGAAAAAGACCATGAGATCCAGTCAGTAATACAAATAGAGAAGCAACTAGGTCTCGAATGGCTGTATTAGTGAAAGTGTCCTCTGTCATTAGTAACATTAGCACTGAAGATAGACAAAACAATGTAGAGTGAGCCAATGATGTAGCCAACTGATACTTATATGAAGGTTTTAAAACTTTCTTTTTATTGTTGCTATCTTTGATTCTTGATGACATTAACAAAGAGATTATGACAATAATAAACATAACCCAGATGAATGAGTAAACGATGACAAAAGGTATTACCATACCAATGTAGAATGGAGTATCAAAAGCACGACAGCTAGAAAATTTAAAAAGGATTGATGTAAGAAATTATTGATTTTACTCTCAATATGTGCATATGGCATAATATACATATTGCATGACAGTTTTAAAATGATTTTGCTGTCTATTAATGTTAATTTCTTAGATAAGGATCATAAATAGTCAAATATTTTATAATATATGGTCATTAAAACTACTACACAGCACAGAAGCATGCATGCATTATGCAGAAAAAAATTCATTAGTAAAATGTACTCTTTGCACACTTAGTCAAATAAAAATGCATGGTATATATATATATAATTTTTCTCACAAGTTTGAGGAGTTGTTTATGTAATTCATATAGTTTGGTGAGAAGCAGAATATGACGATAAAAATTGGAGCAACTAAAATGACAAAAAATAATAATAATAATAGCTATAAACAAACTTACTCCAAGATACCAACGTAACTTTTAGATGGAAAAACTTTTTATTTGAATTAATTACAATGTTAATGTAAAGGCCTATTGCTTCAGCCAACATCAAAGTTAAGCAGACAAGAAAGAAAAATTGAAGCATAAAGCCGGATACTGCACAAAAACTAT